TGAAAGCAATGAAGATTTTGTAGGTTTTGAACCAAACTAAATAACAGTAAACCTTTTTTTCTATTTACAGTATTTTCTTATTTTGATGTTTTGAGCTCTTTTGTGTTTAGAACAATATATATTAATTTTCAAAATATTAAATTGAATTTTTGTTCAATAAAAACCTTTCAAATGCGACTGTAGCTTTTTTTCCCCAAAACTTTGTCTTCAAAATAAGGGGGCGTCTTATATTCTGAAAAATACGGTATTTTGATTAACTCAGTAACATTATTTTGTACCATGTAAAATCTACAAAGCTGTGAACTATAATCATATCTTAGAAGTTTATTGGAATGTCAGAAAGTTAAAAGATTATTGTAAAGGTTTTACTCATACATGCTGCATTTGCCTACAAAATATTTTTGAAATTGAAAGTGTCCAAGCTTAAAAGGTTTACCTTCTTTCAGAATACTTTTTAACTGAAAGTTCAGGTAGTAATATTTTCTTTTTTAACAGACTGACTTCATTTAGTATTTTCATTACCACACAATTGGCTCATATTGTTAGGAAGGCTCATTATCATCTGTTATTTTTTGTTTGTTTTATTTGTGACCTGGCATGGCCTGGTGATTAGGACAGTTGACTTGCAACACACAGGTTACAAGTTTAAATTCTGTCACTGAAAATGCTTGCCCTTTTAGCCATGAGGGCATTATTATGTGGCAGTCAATCCCACTATTCATGGGTAAAGAACAGCCCAATGGTTGATGATCAGAGGTATTGGCTAGCTGCTTTTCATCTAGTGTATCATTTCAAAATTAAGGATGACTAGCATAGATAGTCCTCGAGTAGCTCTGTGCAAATTTCAACAAAGCTAACAAACAAACTTAGTTTTTTCTTTCTTGATAAGAGTTAAAAACTAATTAAAGTGTATGCTTTTCTTTAGATGGTGAAAGGAGGCTGGCTACTTTTATCTGTTAACTTAAAACACTAAAAAAAACACTGCCCTTTATTTAATGATTCTTTGGAACTTAGTTAAAAAAAAAACTTTCAAATTCATTTGATGGTTTTTATATATTTAGTTGTAAAAAATTAATTCAGTATGTATATCTGTTAATCAGTTAATTGAATTGAAAAATAATAATACTTGTATAATCATATTTAACAGTAGATTAAAAATATGCAAAAATGTTAGGTTGTAAAGTTTAGTAATAAAAGGTTAATTATCATGATGGGACATTTCAGAATGTCATATTTTTTTTATTGTGATTTGATGTGTCTTATTAGTAGTAAGTTAATCATTCAAATATAGTACTTGACAATTTGTTATATTATATTTTTGAGTATGTTTCAGTTTGCTAACCAGGTTTATTTTATTGTGATTATATATATCATAATTGACCTCAAGCAGCATGCTAATATCAGAAATATAATACTTGGTAACCTTGCTACATAGAAAATCAAAATATATTCCTGTTTACCATACTGAACTCGGCTAAAAACTTCTATTACTTTTATATATAGGAAAAGATAATTTGATATTTTTGCATGAAAATTATAAAAACTGTAAAAATGCTTATTAGGAGAAAGAGTAACTTAATTAATTGTTGAATAATTAAATATAAATACTTAAATAATTCACGAATTATGCATTTCTTTTTTTTATTTAAAGAATAATAATGTAAGTATGATTAGTAATTGCTGTAGTAGTTGTATAATATTTTTACATAATGTGTTACATGTTAAAATGTACATGAATATACATCTTTTTACCAATGTATTGAAATAAGTTTTTTATGTGACATCAGGTCAATAATGCTACAGCAAGAACTCAAACCAAGAAATCTCCAACCATCCCAAATGGTTAGTATTTGGTGTAATATAATTGTTCTGTTTGTATGTTTTTACATCGACTCACTAGTTGATTAACTCTATTCTTCTGTTAAAATGAAAACTTTTTTTTTCTTTTACATAATTTGATGAGCCATTACACTTGATCAACATGATACTTTCTGTTACAAGATTGGTGCACAAACTGAATATTTAGATATACATCCTCATTGACTCAATATTTTATGTGGGTTAACAGTTGCTGCCTTGCGAGGAGTAGCAATCCAGAGAGGTCGAGCACGTGGTGTTTTTGCTAGACATCCTTCACCACTTACAGCTGCAGCAGCTGCTGCTACTGCTCTGCATGGTTATGCTCCGTAAGTACACAAGATTTAGTCACCACAATATTTGGCTGTGTTCATATCTCTCTGGTGTTTTCTTATTATTTCAAAATCACCAAACAACTCACTTCTGAACAAGACTTGTGTAATATGAAAACACTACACCAATTCTAATTTTGTTATTGTTTCCAAGTAGATTAGGCTGTTTCCATTTGTTTCAAGGTTGGGTGTACACGTCATTGTAAATGATGCAGCAAAATCTTAGATTGTATCATTGCAACTTACAGCTTTTACTGTAAAGAAGATTATTTTTTATAACAGGTACAGCGTTTCGATCACTGGTGAGGTCATTCAGAAGTGAACAAGTTTTACCATACCTGTTCTGAAAAATAATCTTCCTTACTGTAAAAGTTGTAACTTGTATAAAGATAATACTTTATCAGTAAGTAAATTCAAAACAAAACTATTAAAATCTTAGATTTTTTTTTCAGTTTTTGACTTAAAAGTATGGCAAATTAATACAGAGCATTTACTTCTGTATATAATAATAATTTTTTTTTTAATTCACGGGTGTATGTAGTAGTAAGTAAATATTTTTTACATTTTTGTTTTATATATGTCTAATTTTTGTTGGATATTTTCTAAGAAATATTTGAACTCTAAAGGATAATATTTAATGATAAACTACCCAGCTAGAACATGGTTAGAATAAATTTCCTTGAGAAAATGTTTATTACAATCATTATATTATGAAAATTAATATTTTACTACAGAAAAAATAACTAATAAAAGTTTATAATTTTAGTATCTTCAGTTGTGCATTCACTAATGTTCCCAAAAGACAAGCACAAAATAAGACCCAAAAAATAAGAACTCGAAGTAAACATATTTTATTATTCACAAACTCAATTACTACAGGGTTAAGCAATAGACTTTTTTTTTCTGTAAAAGTAAAATATAGGTGTGTATGTGATATTGTTTAATTGTGGTTTTTCAGTAAAGTAAGATGTTGTATATAAACCTGAGTATAACCTCAGTTACTTTGTAAATTTTGTTTATTGTATGCTTCTGGAACACTTTGAGAAATTTGGAGCCAGTTTGTTTTTCTCTGCCAATTCCTTCTCCTTTCTCTGTTTTAGACTCATTTCACCAGCTAGTATCTATCAAGACCCCTTTCTGGCTTATGCAGGAGCTGAAAGATACCAGTTACCTGTAAGTACATGTCACCTGCTATGTAGCTGTATTTCCATTTACTCTTAACAGTAGGTTTCAAAATTACCTAGAAAAGAATTAGGCACTTATTTAACCATAACAGGTTATTTGGAACATAGACTACTTTTATTTGTAGAAAAGACTAAAAAAAGTAGTTTGCAAAAGCTTTTACAATTTTTTTCCCACTGTTTATAAAGTCTCAAACTTTCTTTTTTTCTTACATATTTTAAAATTTTATCTTTTCACTTGTTTTTCAATAACTAGGAACTGTTATTCAAGTCATGGGAAAAACAAAGGGAAGGAACAAAATACAGAGTAGTGTTTGTGAAAAAAAGTAGTCATCGGAAAATACTATTTTTGCATGTTAAATATTGATCAACAACATGCTGTACACCACCTACATGTAAAATATTTTATGTACATTAAAAAAAATATATATATAGAGTGGCCTAAAAGTAGGTTTCCAGTTACGTATGGACTTTTTCTTCTGGGGAGTACTCAAGGACAAAGTGTACAGTAGGAAATCGTGGAATGTTTATGAAATGAAGGGGTACATCACAGATACATATACAGAACTTGATGAACTGACAGATTTGTGCCAGAAAGTTTGCAGAAGTGTGGAAGGTAGACTCCAGGCTTGTGTTTCAATTTGAACACCAGCAGGATTTACTGTCCCATAATTTGATGTCATGTGTAAAGTGCCGTTATACAAATTATCAATCATCAATTGTATAGTTTAATTTTAATTTAATCACTTTACATAAATTATCAATTATCAACTGTATACTTTAATTTTGATTTAATTATATTAAATATATTATCAGTTATCAACTGTATGCATACTTTTGGGGGCCACTCTGTATCTGTATGTGTTTTAGCCTTACACTTTTATAACAGAAGCATTTAACACATTTTTATTTTATCTATTGAGGTTAAAAATTTAAACACCACATCTTACAACTAGAAGCATTGAAATAGAAAGACAACAATTGAAATAGTCATACAGAGGAAATTGAAAAATGAAAACATCTTTGTTATGGTTTTGACTGACTACTATGTGTAGCACATATATATGTCAAATTAATACACTAGTAATAACTCATGTGATTTCTTAAGCCTATTATATAGCAGTAGTCCTTAGGTTACATACCTCAATAAAAGGAAACTACAAGTAGTGCAACAAACCTTTCATTTTGTCCATACATAATCATGTAAATATAATGAAATTTGTATCCTTCATATCTATTGAGATATTTGCTATCACTGACCCCGTATCTGTTGTATGAAAATTTTAATACAAAATATGATATAATATGCGATAGATTTCAGTACAACAGATGCTAGATGTTATTGCAAAAAGTTCTACTCAAGCTAGAGAGCAAAATTAGTGTAATAAAAAGCCTTTTTTTACAGGATAAAGTAAAACTGTAAAATTTGAAAGCTTGAAAGAAATATAACTAGTAGAATCTTTTAAATCAAGATAATGATTTTTTTTTCTTTAAGCAAGTGTGACTCACTGGAATGTCTAAGTAATTTGGATGTATATATGAAAATATCTATTAAAGAAATGCACGTGTGTGACAGTGACCAGAAAAATCTGGAATTTGTTTATTTTTGAAAATGGTTAGATTCCAAAAATGAAATTCTCTTGAATAAATGTGCTGACAACTGTTTATGTTTCATTCCACAGGCCACTTATGCAGCTACTGCAGCTTATACAGCAGCTGCAGCCCGAAGTTATGCTGCTGCAGCAGCTGCTGCTCAGCCAGTTGCTACATATGCAGCAGTAGCAGGGTAAGTTCACTGTATTGTTGCCGTAAACATTCACCACTTTTTAACTATTTCTTTAAGGTGATGGAAAAAAATATTTCTTTTACATTTACCAAAGTCTGCAGTTTACTGTTTCCCTTTCTCTTTCTCTCTCTCTTTTTTTTTAATAGAGAAAAAATGTAACTAGTGGCTTAATACAAAAAAGCGGGTAACAGATCCTGTTGATTTCAACAACTGGGGAAAAAACACACTTATGTATAAAGTTGAAAAGCTAGCATAATAATAATAATTTCTTAAAAGACAGATCTGGTATTTTAATAATCTTGTAAGTCAGGTTTTAAGTGTGAAGGAATAAAATTCTTAAAACACATATTACAGATTTGAAAAAAATGTTACAAGTGTAAAAGTATATAATGAAATATTTCAAATGGACTTATTTTACTTTAATTATGTGCCTGATAACTTTGAAAACAAAAAAAATATACTTTTTAATACACAAAAGTATTGTTAATTTATCGATATTCACAACCACAAGAACTGGGTTGGTAAGTAACACTGGACAAAAATAAAAACATTTGCCAAATAGAGTTAAAGTTTAATAGTAAAAAGTTCTTCAATTCCTGATCTCTTCTTGTATACACATTTTGATGTAAAACTCATGAACTTCTTATAAGAATAGATGCAAACCTTTTATGTAACAAGATCAAATATATATATATATTGGCTGTTCAGTATTTACTTTGTATAATATTGAGAAATCTCATGTAATGGTTTAGAAAATCTTCTTTTTCTTGTATTGATTTAAAGACCTTTGTAATGTTGAAACATATCACCATTTCCCCAATATTACAAGGATGGAATTAGCATATTCATGGGGTATTCCTGAATCTATAGTTTTTAATATGTATTTACTTATGATGGATTTTATATGTTCAGTTATCATCATAGTTCTTGTAATAACTTCTAGAGAAATAATGTGTATAATATTCAGATACTTCCTTATGACCCCTTCTGTATTTTCCCAGTTTGGAATTTTGACTTACGTATATTTTGAAAATCTGACATTGCCATTCTAAATAAAAATATAATTTCTGTTTGTGACATATTTTATCCGGCATGTGGTGTGAATTTAAGTTAGTGAAATATGTAAGATAGCATGCACTAATTGTTTGTATAGTATGTGCACTTTCCCATTGTGTCTTAACCCTGCATTAGTCTTCTGTAAAAATATTACAACTTGTTTCTTTTTTACCACCTAAACTAAGTGTAACAATTTAACAAAAACTAGCCGAATACTGAAGCTACTGAACAACATACATGTATGTGCTTCCATCTGTTGGTACCAATGTTTACAAAATATTTAGGATCTCTGAAGATCCTGGAAGACTAATGCAGGGTTAAACACAGCTGAACATGGAGTTGAAAGATAATTTACACTTGGACCTAATTATAAAAACTTTATAAAACTATAATATGTGTAAGCTTACCAATATTGCCTTGTACAAATAAATTAAATATGAATAAGAAAGAAAACCTATATTTATGCTTCCTCATTCATGCTTTGTTAGTCCATTGATTACCTTTAAAGAAACCCTAATGCTTGTATTCTATCTGGGTAGGCTTACAGCATTTATAAATAAAACCAAGTAATTTCAACACCTTTAAACTTTATTCATTCTGAAATTTTGAAACTAAATGTATCGAGTTTAGTAATTAAGTTTTTGTATTAACTTATTTGATGATCAAGGAAATAAATGTTATTGAAGTCAGTTCGGTAAAATGTTAAGGCTGACACAATAAACAGTAAATTATTTTATTTTTGTAGGTTTATAACCTTCTGTGGATGCTGTTTTGTTTGACTAATAGATATTTCAAGAAAGGCTAAATATTTCTGATAACAATCAGGTTGAAATTCTCTTCAAGTAAATGGTCTTTTTATTTCATTACAAAAATGACATTGAGCAGATTTTTTAAAACCGTTAGTAGGAAAAAATAGATCTGTGAAGAAGTCACTAATAAAGGTTTCAACTGTTGGTTGATTTTGGTTTGATGTGGGTGTAGTTACGGAAGATGGGACACATCTGTTAATTGATTTTGTAGAAGAGCTAGATAGACAAAAATTAAATTTGTTTGTAATTCTGTACTAGAACTTATATTTAGACAAATTGCTCTTCTCCAGATTTCTGTTGGTTGAAATAGATAAGTTCATATAAACCTCTGTCAGGTATTTTACAAACATGTACTTTGAAAGATATTTCTAAACATTTTAACTGTGACTCAACCTGATAGCACACATACATCTGAATGCCAAAAGAAACAAAAAATTATAAGCCATATTTATGCAGCTTAAAGTAAAGGTTAATGCAGCTGATAAATTATAATTATTCATTTAAATAATAATGGTTTAATGTTTTATGACATAAAAACAAAATATGGGCCAGTTTCTTAAAGTCTCATATAAGGGTAAGAACAATAGTCCCTGACTATCTTGGTATTTCTCCCCATATTACTGCTCCTTGAGCTAGTTAAACAAACAAAACAATTGTATAGCCAAGTAATCCAAATTAGAAAATAATTCATGCATGTGGGAATTATCTCTTTTATCAGAAAGCACATGAAGCATGACTGTTCTTATGTTTATGTTATAGTCTCCTTGATCTTTACTCACAGATTTTTTTTTAACATGTCAGTATTGTAACTTTTAGATTAACATACAAAAAGAACTCAATAAATATAACTCGTCAGACCAAACCAAGCCCAAAATGTGGCTAACATGAAGTAATGTGTGTGCAGAAGTTTTAATAATTGTTCAGAAAACAAGAGTCTAATAACACTCTCAGTATGATCATACCTACCTACATATGTAGATTTAAATGTGCAATCTTTACAGTAACATTTGTTTAAGCCTCAAAATTGATGCAATAGAGAGTATGTTGGGTTGAACTGGAAGTTTCAGTGAAAAGGTAACCAATACTATAATACTACTTGTTTCACTGAAATATAGAATTGTAATTTAAGTACTTATGGTAAGGTTGTGGTGATTGGATATCAGTTGTTGTCATGGTTACTAGCCTATATCATTGCCAAAGTCTTATTTCTTATTAGTTGTTTATTTTACTAATTCGTAACTAATTATAATAATAAATAGAATGCAAATTAGTATTCAGACTTGGGTGTTCATATAGGCTTGTAAACATGCCATGGTTTGTGAACTTGTTTTTAATATTCTTATTTTAGAGATTATAATATATATATATTTTTTTCCCCTTTTCTAAAGATCCCCATCCCTCTACTATGCATATGGTAGAGAGTTTACAGACCCATACCTAGGGCACAGTATTGGTCCAGTTGCTGGATATGGGGTGAGCTCAGCTTTGAATAAGGTAGAAATTTTTAAGTGAAATTACAGATGCCCTTACAGCATTGTTAACTATTCAAAAACATTTCATCAGCTTTTCACTGGTTGCTAGTTTTGACAGTTCCAGTTAACAAAAACACATCTGAAAGAATTTTTTTTGTTACCTTTTTTATAAATGAAATGTTATATGTGGTAAATAAATTGTTTTATGCTAAGACTTTCCAAAAATTTACCATTTCAACAAGAGATGAATTATATATTTCACTGTTCTGAACTTTTAATAAACGAACTGCACTATTCTGTTTATTAACCTGGATTGAAGTGTATTAACCCTGTGTGATCAGGTGAGGGTCAAAGTGCACATATCATGACCTTTTTCAGAATGTCACTCAACATGGTATTATGTATTTCATGTTAGAGTTACCAACTATACTTTACACTACATTGCTGATTTAATGACAGTTCGTGGTAGAGGAGAATAAATACTAGATACAGTATACAGGGTTACTGAGATATACTACAGTTCATGGTAGAGGAAAGTAAATACCAGATACAGTGTACAGGGATACTGAGATATACTATAGTTCATGGTAGAGGAGAGTAAGTGCCAGATACAGTGTACAGGGATACTGAGATATACTATAGTTCATGGTAGAGGAGAAGTAAGTACCAGATACAGTGTATAGGGATACTGAGATATACTATAGTTCATGGTAGAGGAGAGTAAGTGCCAGATACAGTGTACAGGGATACAGAGATATACTACAGTTCATGGTAGAGGAAAGTAAATACCAGATACAGTGTATAGGGAAACAGAGATATACTACAGTTCATGGTAGAGGAAAGTAAATACCAGATACAGTGTATAGGGATACTTAAAAAACTGTAGATATGCATTATTGAGGTTGTAGAGGTTATGCAAATTCAGTATGTAAACTGAATGATGAATTGTTATTGTATTGTTATTATTCACATGACCATCATCTTGTGGTCCAACTTGTCAGACTTGAATAAGACTGATGTTGGCAGTTCACAAACATATCTGAGTACAAATATATTTGTAACACATCAGGTTTTTTGTGTGCAACAGACTTGTGCATTTGAATAAAAGGTTGCCACATTTCTTGTAGATATAGGTCCATTGAACTGACCCTGTATACATTTGGTTAAGCAATAGAGTTTGTATGTAGTTCTTGTTGATCATTTACTGTTAAACTGTTCTCTACTTTTAGGTTCATTACACTCATTCAGCACATGGTTCTTAATGCTGGAAAATGACATAGATTATAAAAATTGCACATTATTGTATGCAGACTAATAACCACATAGTGATGGATCCTGTATAACAAAAAACATTTACTATTAGTACATTTATATTCAGATACAACATTTTAAGCTTGGATTGTAGGTATTTGATTCTTAAACCTCAAGAAATGTTGTACGCTTAAAGACACATCACAATTAAACCTGCAGGTAAGTACAGTTGATAACTTACATTCTAAGAACCCGTGAGTGAAAAGAAAGGAGAATTTGCATCTGCCATATCCATTATTGATTTCTAATTAAAATAGTTTATCTGTAATTGGCAATACTAAATAAATTCTTTGTTTAGCAATATTCTTGTTTGACTATGTAGGAACGCTTATATAAATAGTCACAAATAATAGGATTTGTAATGCCTATTGGAGAGGCATTTTTCAAATAAGAATGTGTTGATATTTTGTATTTCTTTATGGAAAATTTCATACTACTTGCTTAGTTTGTGTGCTTGGTGAGCTAATATTTCATGGTATCTGTACAGATAAAATTAAATATTGTTAAGTTCATCTGCTTACACATACCATATAAGTGTTAGTTTAACAGGTAATAAGTAACTAAGATTATGGAATAGTTAACGGAGGATATTGTACCAAAAGGTATAAAAACTAATCAAAGCCATTAGATGTCATAATTATGTCCATTTAACTTTAATTAGCATGGCTTTCAGGAAACTATAATATTAGTCCATGTTTAGTCCATGTATTACTTCTCCCAAACAAGAGATCATCAAGCTGAGTAATAAAATACAAGAATCATTTATTAAATCCGGTTATAATTTTTGAGCTTTTATCTATATATTCACATCATCTTGAGAAAGCATAAATTAAATTTATCTTCTCCATCTCCAGTGCAGTTTTCTAAACTGTCTGCTCTTGTATTTTTGTTCAGCTGCTGTAGACAGCTTAGTCAGTGAAATTATTACTGACATTTCAAAATCTTTATTAAGAACTTTGTCTATTGATCTGCAACAATTTAGTGTAACACCTCATTACCATGAACACCAAGTTTGGGGTAAATTTTCAGACATTTAGAAATTTAGCTGTAAATGGCAGAGATTTTTTGGTTTGTTTTGAATTTTGGACAAAGCTACATGGTGGCCCGGCATGGCCAGGTGGTTAGGGCGCTTAACTCGCAATCTGCGGGTCACACGTTCGAATCCCCATCACACCAAACATGCTCGTCCTTTCAGCCATGGGGGTGTTATAAGTGATGGTCAATCCCACTATTCGTTGATAAAAGAGTAGCCCAAGAGTTGGCAGTGGGTGATGATGACTAGCTGCCTTCCCTCTAGTCTTACACTGCTAAATTAGGGACGGCTAGTGCAAATAGCCCTCGTGTAGCTTTGCGTGAAATTCAAAACAAATAAACAAACAAAGCTACATGAGGGCTATCTTCACTAGCTGTCCCTAATTTAGAAGTGGTAAACTAGGGGGAAAGCAGCTAGTTAAAACCACCCACCGCCAACTCTTTTACCAATGGATAATGAGGTTGACCATGACATTATAATGCCCCCACAGCTGAAAGGGAGAGCATATTTGGTGTGACGGGGATTCAAAACTGCAGATTTAGAGTCCAGTGTCCTAACCGTCAGACCATGTGTGGCCCCCCCATGGCAAAGTAAAAACTATGTTTTATGACATTTGTTTCAAAACATAAGTGGTTAATTCATTCACAACTGGATGTGACATGCTTAAGAAAGAGATTGACTTTTTTTTCTTTAATTTTTACACCAATAAATGTTAATTGTATGTTTAAAATCAAAATGTTAACTGTCTCAACCCATGTCCTAAGTTTTTGTTTAAGATGTAGTAGTAGAATATATTTTTTAAAGTAGTTGTACTATTCCTTATACCCACTAACTTTGTTTTTTCATTAACTTCTAAGGAGTTTTTAGATCAGATAATTTTGAATAAAATTTATTTTAATTTGCAATTATCAATTATATATTTTCCAACACCTTTAAATCATACAATATGCTGTTTTAAGACTATGGTTGTGAATTTTTCATGTACTCGACTAAAAATGTAATATTTATACAGTCGTTTCAATTTATACTTGGAAAGAGTCCGGATGCAATATCTAGAAAATCAAACAGCGGTTAAACCAATTCAAGTTAACCAAATGTTAAATATCACTTGAAATTTTTAAAGATAAATAGACATATGACGAATCAACTGAACATTTACAGCCTTGGCAACCTTTTGAGGATTAGTTTAAATAATTACAATTAAGAACCATTTGACTGATTATGCTTTCCCTAAGTGAGCTTCTGTAATCATATTTTGTGCAGTAAAAATTACAACTGCAAATGGAAAATTCTCAACAAATAGTGCCGTTATGATTTTGTATCACTATCTGTTGTACTAAAAATGAACAGTGCGTTTAAAAAAAATATATCGATATATATGAAGCAACACTTGTATCATATTATTTCTCAGGTTGTTTATTAAATAATGTAACATTTAAGATATTTCTTTTGTTTTGCATGGTGGTTCATAAATCTCCTATCTTGCTTATATGGATGTATACACATCACAAGTTCATTATTGAAAAGTTAGTTTTAAGTTGATTCCTGGCTTTCAAAATTGGTAATAGATTTCTGAGGTTTGTAATTTTCTTATAGGGAACTGGTATAAAGTTTGAAATACATACCAGTGAAAGTCTTCTTATAAAATGTTACACCTTCAAATTTACCATCTTTAATCTGAATAAAGATGTCTAAGTATGGAAGTTGATGTTTAGCTCTAAACTTGATATTAGGATGTCTACTATTAAGATAATTCAGAAAAATACATATTCAACACCTTTAACAGTAATAAAGGATCATCTATAATAAAGGAAGAAGGACATTCTTGAAGACACGCTTGTCATGGTGACACCAAAATAAGGTATTGAGTGATGAGACTAATCTAGATACCATACCAACACCATCTACTTGATCATATAAAATCGTTATCAAATTGAAAATGAGATTTTTTGGTGGTAAAATTCACCAGTTTCTGAAACACGTGCTTGGGAAATCTGATTTTAATATTTTCATTTTGACATACAAGCTCTTTGCATATATTTATTATCTCATCTGAAGGAATATTAGTATAGACTATATATATAAAACATTAACTCCATCATTAAAATTGTAAGTGTGTATTTCTTGAGGGAAGAACCTAAAACTGTCTTTGACACTGTATTCATTTTTTCAGGTTTAAGAACCAAATACTTATATTAAAAACTTCAGGTGCAGTATGTGAATATAAATATCCTAAATGTACTTTGTTATGGTGGATTTACCACAAGGTGGTTACTAGTTTGAACATAAGAACATGCAAATTTAAAATCTATGTCATTTTCCAGTACTAAGAACCATGTACTGAATGAGTGTAATGAATCTATGAATAGAAAACTTAAAGTCCTTGAAAGGTAAATAGAATTCAACTGAGGTTAAATGAAGAGTTTGTTTACTTGTTTGTATGTTTTGTTGTTAAGCACAAAGTTACATAATGGGCTAGCTTTTAAGACTTGTCACGGGGGGGGGGGGACTAAACAGGGTAATGCAGTTTGTTAATTATTAATTCTATAAGCATTGTGAATTTTGGTAGCAAACAAAAAATTGTTGTAACAGTCAATATGATTTATCTTATTTTGAAACCATAAATAGTTATCCTATTTAAGTTCTGAAATAATTTTTTCAAAGCAAATGAGCCATTATTGAATGGCATCAAATCCTAAGTTTTCGTTTTTAACTAAAAACAACATTTTGAATTTAACCAATAAACCATTTTTTTCTCTACAGTTATTTACAAACAAGTAAAATCATTGTGTTAACTTGAAACTTGTATTGCTGTCTAGGCTGCAGTCTACCGGAGTGGATACAATAGGTTTACCCCGTATTAAGTTGGAGAAGCCTGGTTTTAGTTTGCAACAACTTTTATATAAAAGCTCAGATTTGTTACCAGGACGAAAAAGAATCTGATATTGATTATTTTTGTGACATCGACTGCACCGGACAGTGTGATGGGATTTTATGAACTGCCTATATTCACATGTAATACTCGCACACCTTCAAAGCTTTTTATCATTCACTATTTATTCATGATCTGTTTTTAATGAAAGTCCATGTAAGTTGACCCATGTTTTTGTGTATGCCTCTATCATTGTATCTCTTTGTTACCTTATATTGTGCAGTGTTAAGTGGGTTTTTGCATATATTTACCAAAGTCTGAAAATAAGTATTAGTTTGGCTTCCGTGTTAAAGGAACGAGGCTTTACACCAAGTTCTAGTCACGAAAGATTTTTTTCTCACTTTGTTTGTTTAATTACTATTTCCAAATTGGTTGTTCCATTCAAAAACAAGGCTTACTGATTCTAAAATTATAACACTATGCATTTTCTTCATTCAATTTTACTTTAAAATATCTTTGATGTTGTATTGATCTCTTACTGAAACATATTCGTAATGGTTGCGACATAATTCATTTAAATCTATGGACTTCCATATATAATAAGTAATGTTATGATTTAAAACTTTAAGAAAAGACAGTTACACTTAACAAAGACTGCTGTTTACTATATAATGAAGGAACCGTTTGTTTCTTCAGTGCATTGTTTGCAGAATTAGGTAGAAAATGTTTGTTTTACATAGTATAGGCAACTATGATAACTAAAACTAATTTATTGATAGATCTTGTGTGACATAATTGTTGGTTTTGTAAGCAATCAAAATGATCTGAAGTACTTCTATTTCACCTTATTACTGTTTAATCTTATTTTGTGTTTGTCCCTTAACATTTCAACAGAGTAAATGTTACTATTTTTCCATGTTCACAGAATGGTATGTTGTTTGTTGGTTAGGAGCGCACATGGATGTTATAACCTAGGCTATATCGTGTGGGTAAACTCTGTAAAAAAAAGGGGGGGAATAATTATTGAGACATTACCAAAGAGATTACACCTCTTGCACAATAACAAGAAAATGGCAGCTTTACAATTATTATTTGTTTTTGCAATCTTTGTTGAGATTCAATGAGATTTATCACCATCTATGTTCATGGCAGTTATGTGTGCAGAAGTTTCACATAAAATCCAAACTTCTGTGTTTCCCTCAGACTTGGGTAACAAACCTCGCTGTTTTAGTAAGTGTATGTAACAAGACTATCATGACTAGTTTAAATTTGATGCTTTTCAAATCATGGTTTATTAATATGTATGTAGTTGTCTTATTTCCTTATTGGGACAGAGGAATTTACCATGAAGTGATTAGGATTATAGAAAGTTGAAAATTTAGTGAAGGATTTAAAGAGAGAGTGCCACCGCAGCTCATCTATTTATATATTATGTTTACTATTCTTTGATTGCATAACAAAGGGATACATACCATCAATAGATTGTAGTAATGATGAACTACAAAGGTGAATTTCTTATTAGTATTATAAGCTTCCTGTACACTTATAAATAGTATAAAAATTTTCTTTTTCACTCTCTCTCTTTGACATCGTTAGAGCAGGAATCGAACCTTTACAGTTGGTAGACAAATTACTAGTTAAGGTCAGTAAAGTATAGGCGGACTAGTCAATATAATGATGAAAACCTAACCTGTTAATAATTCTTGCAGTAGCAAAGAATACTAGTATTAGTGAATTAATCATACAATACTCTTTGTATGTCTGTTTACACGTCTCAAATTTTTGGGTTTAATAAAAAAACAAAGCTGATATGGACTGTTGAATTACTGGTACAACAGGATTCTTCACGTGTGCTATTGAATAGTTATTCGGAAGTTTTTTATCTTGCCGAGCTGGAAGGCATAGACTGTATCCTCTCATTACTGTAGAGTCAACTGACCTATATTATAGTAGTAATATTCACGTATTAAATTGTCTTGTGTATTATATATATATACATCTTCATCTCAATGATCAGACCTCTAGAGTAGTGTATTATTATTTTATTTATTGGTTACTGTATCAAGTTATGTATACCAATGTGTGTTAAAATTAAATTCTAAGAATCTCCTCTTTTTTTTTTTTAAAAAAAAAAAA